GACAAATCGTATATAAGAATCGAGCGACGTGAGAAAACTATTCACGAACACAATCGCGTATTTCAATTCAACCGAGAGTCCAAAGCAGGAAAATCATCTAAATATATAAATTAAAATTTATAAAGTTATAAATATATAGAAGTACAAACATTTTATCTAAATAAAAATGATAAACTATAGGATTTTATGTCGTCCAAATTAGAAGGATTTTAGAACAAGAAACGAATGCAAGGCCAGAGAATAAATAAGTAAAGCAAGAAATTAGCACGTCCCTCATTTTCCTCTACACTTGTAAGACCTTCTCTTCGGATTACCATTTCCCCTCCGAAACTTCTACAAATTTAAACTCCTCGGCTTACGCCTTCGTATCCTTTCATAACCTACCGCACGTAGATCCAATGGCGGAGCACGTCGAGTCGAAGATGGAGGAGATCGCTGAGAAGATCTCTGATAAGGTCTCCGAGAAGATCCACCGCAAGTCCTCCTCATCCTCTTCCTCCTCCGATTCCGATGATGACAAGCGCTCACATGGCCACAAAGTCCCTTTCAAGTCCAAGGTTTATCGCCTCTTCGGCAGAGAGAAGCCTCTTCACCAAATCTTGGGCGCCGGAAAATGTAAAACTATTTTCGTATGATTTATCGTTTATTTTTATGTATAGATTCTGCGAATTCATTTTTATTAACTGTTCTGGCGAATGGCGGTGTTTAATTGATTATATCAGCGTCAGTTAGTCGCATTATATGACATTCTCTGTTTTGCTAATCGATTACGTAATCTGATATTTAAATCAAAGAATTACTATCCAGAATCATCTTCACCAAGTCTTGGGGGAAAACGTAAATGTATTTTCGTATGATTAGTCGTTTGTTATATAGATTCCGCGAATTCATTTTTATTTAACTGCTTTGACGATGTATAGTTTATTTAAATGAGCATCAGTTAGTCACGTACCGCATTATATGGCATGCTCTGTTTTACTAATTGATTTCATAATCTGATTTTTAAATCAAATAATTACTATTCATAATCCTGATTTCTCTTCTTTTCTTTTTCTTCTTGATTGAGTCCAGATACGAAATCTTTCAAAGTCGGGATTTCAATGATTTTGCCTTCATTTTTATGCATTTGTTTATGTAATTTGCGAGTTGTGAAATGCTAATGTAATTTATTTCGATTTTAGATTCATGCTAGTTTTTCAGTATCTTGCTTCATTCCTTCATCTGATTCAGTCCAGTTACGAAAGGGAGGATTTCAACGTAATCGCCTTCATTTTAATGTATATTAAAAAAAAAACTTTTGAGAGTTGTGAATGCATCTTCAAATCTGTAATTTACATAATATTATGAGTAGGATGAATTTTGAGTCATTCCTTGATTAAAGCTCCGATTATTGTTTTTCTATTATCTGTTATCGTCTTTTATTGTCATTTAATGTTGATTTGCAGCTGCTGATATTCTTCTATGGAGGAACAAGAGAGTTTCTGGAAGCGTGCTTGGTGGTGTAACAGCTTTCTGGTTTCTCTTTGAAGTTCTTGATTACCATTTAATCACTCTGATTTGCCACATATTGATACTCTCTTTATCAGTCCTTTTCCTATGGTCCAATGCTTCTAATTTCGTCAACAAGTAAGGTTCTTCAACCATTCTTCTTTTGTTCCTTATATGATTGTGCGATTGAAATCTTATTGCGACTTATCCACTTTGTTCAACTCGAAGTTCTCCACCAACCATTCCAGAAGTTGTGATACCCGAGAAGTCTTTGATTAAAGCTGCATCTTGTCTGACGACTGAAATTAACCGAGCTATGAATGTTGTGCGGACCATTGCAACCGGCAAACATCTGAAGACGTTTCTTGGTGTATGTTAACATTAATATCCCTCCTTGCTTTCTTCTAGTTAACTATCATATTAAACAAAGAAAAACCATCTCTAGGATGAATCTAGTTACAATATTTATTACTTTTACTTTTTCATAAAATAATTGTCTGATACATATTTAAACATGAACAATAAGTTATGATTCTTTAAACATGTTCATGTTGGATATATATATATATATACCTGACACTATAATTGTACATTTACTAGGTATTTTGCTTAGCTGCTATTTTTGTCTAGGCTACCCTAAAAAGCAAGGGATAAAATAACTTTTTAGTCCCTCAATTTGATAATTTTTTTAATTTGGTCCTTAACTTTTTAGTCTACATTAGTCTCTAAACTTGAAGTTCTAATTATTTTGATGACATGATGTTTCTTTGTTGTGTCATGTGTTGTGGTCTTAGAATGTCATGTTATCAAAAGGCCTAAAAATAAGAAAAAATCATCCAATTCAGGAATTAGTGTCAGAGTTGAGAAAAATTATCAAGTTCAGTGAAAAACAAAGAGATACCCGTCTCTTAGATGAAATTGATTAATGTCAATGTTGCTTCGATTCTTGATTTCCTGCAATATATCGGTATCCAACACATATTCATGTAATGTAGACTGTAGAGGTACACTCGATATGTGATTGTGCTATGCTTTCAACTCACTAGGTGTTTTTGCTTTGCTGCTCTTAGACCATTGCTGGATTATGGTTTATTTCAGTTCTGGGGAGCTGTTTCAACTTCTTGATATTGGTCTACGTTGGTAAGGAATCTGATTTCTTTTCTTTTTAAAACACTTGTAATATATATATATGTGTTTGATGAGACACGCTACCAAATGGAATTTTATGACAGCAGGAATGGACCAAGGGTGAGCGGGTGGAGCAGTCGCCCACCTAATTTTAAATTCTTAAATATTGTAGATATTTTCTTTGTATTTTCGATTGAAAATTTATTTTCGTCCTCTTAAAATTTTATAAGTCCACTCTCTTTTAGAATTTTATAAATTCGTTCCTAACATAAAATCCTGCGTCCGTCCATATGACAGTGTTCCTTTTGTCATACACCGTTCCGGTGTTGTACGAGAAATATGAGGATGAGGTCGATGCATATGCTGAGAAAGCAATGATCGAGATGAAGAAGCAGTATGTAATATTAGAGAAGGTTATGGCTAACTTGAATAAAGAGAAGAAGAAAGATAATTAGATTGCATAAAGGTTATTCTTTTCACTGCTGAAGTCGATTTTTGATTTTCTTTTTTGGTGACTATCACTATCTTTGAGTTTCCCGGTTCCAACTTTCATGTTTTAGTTGCAGATATACTCATTGAATTTGGTTTTCAAAGGATGGTGTCTTAGTTTTTAGATCATAATGTTTTTCGTAACATATACATATATTAATAAGTTTTACGATATATATTATTGTGGTTTACCAAACATCTTAAACCCTTTCTTTGTCAATATATATGATTTTCTTATACTTTTGTGGTTGTTGAATTGGAAAGAAACTCATCCTCATTTGGGTTATCTAAAAAGTAAATTTATTAAAGAGATCATTTTGTGGAGCAAGGAATTGTGTCGGTTTTCGGATGTACTTACGCTCCTCAAAAAATAATTAAATTTTCATTTAATTTAAATATTTTCTTTATATTTTCTATTGATAAACTAATTTCGTACTTTAAAATTTTAAATATAAAATCTTAAATTCGTAACCTAACATATAATTTTACGTATGTTTTGATAACATTCATGAATAGAGAGGTAATGATCATCCAACAAGAATGAGCTCAAAGCATGGTAAATCATTATGCATGCATGGATGCAGCAATCAAGCAGCCATCTACAATCAATGTCTCCCCACCCCTCACTTTCCACTGCTAAATAACAGATTAAATCCGAAAATATTAGCGGTTTTCAGTAATTGGGTATAGTTTAAACTAGGATATTAATCATTCTCATTCTTTTTTCCGGAATATATTAGAGGATAATTCGATAAAATGAATGATGCTAATGAAACATGTTTACATGTGTGCACTCGTGCATATATGTTCATGAGTGTGAGAAAGCAGCCATGGTGGCCGGAGTTGATAAACGGAGAAGGGCGACATAATATAAGGCAAGAACTGAAGTAATTTTATTAAGAAAGAATTCACTTTAATATTCAATTTGAGTTCATGGAAAATGACCCGATACATTATATATATAGTCCATTACAAGCCTAACTAATTCATTAACAATTTTAACAAACTTATAAGCCCAACAACTTTTAATAACATAAACCCAATCTGTTATATTTCCTAACAATGAGCTACTCCTTATTTTCGGCGCAATTGAATATTTGTAAATGAATAAATAAATTTGTGAGTTGAATATTAATTTGTTTTATATAAAAGTATAATAAAATTTATTTTTTAATAACTATCCAATTGAGTTAAACAGCAATTAATCAATAACACCATGTCAATCAAACTTCTAAATAGTATAAATAACTTCTACCCAAGTGTTTAGTTCGTAAAAGATGATAATAATTGAACCTTTAAGTGATTAACAGAAGCATTAAGTGTTTAAGTGGTTCAATTTATTTATTACTTTTTATATTATAAAATTATTTTTAGTTTTATAATCAATTCACTAAGAATTGACATTTTATACAATAATTAAGTATAGATGCATGTACTATAATATCATCTATTTAAAATCATTCAAAAATAGAATTATTTACATTTATTTTAAAAGTTCAATATGATGTTATATTTCTTAATCGTGTATAAAATTATATATTTTATAAATTTTTAATATTATCTAATTACGTAACTAAATGTAAACCTAACTTTTCAAATAGAAATGTTAACTTAAATTTTTATATACTAAATTCGGGTGAACTTAAGTGAACGATATCATATAAATATAACTAATTAGAGGTTCAATTGGTATAATTATTGAAGATTTTGAATTCGAGAGAACTTAAACGAATATGTATTACCATATAATAACATATCTTTTAATTAAATAGTCTTCAAACAATCCAATATAAAACCCCCACCCTTGGGCATTTTCAAGTACCACACATTTCACATCAAACACTACTAAGCATACCCAAATATTGGTGCTAAATGGTTCATGTAATGGACTAAAATCTTTTCCCAAAAACCCTTTTCTAAGCATCATGTACAAATGTCATATATATATATATATATCAATGCATTTCACACACCCTAACAAGAGCTCTGTGGTTCATATCGTTCGGCAATTCGGATCCGGGCCGGAGCTTCCCGTCGTCTTTGATACTACCCCATCCATGTGAGACCGGTGAGTATGGTTGAACAATCCTATTTTTGTTGAAGGAGCTTTTGGAATAACCAAATTTTTACACCTCTTCCATGGAGAACTATGTTGATGAGGAAATGGGACGTCTGATTTTACAATCTAAAGGAAGTAAGTCAACTGTTCCTTCTTCCTCGAACCTCCTTCTCCGTATAAATCGTTCCATTGCTTTAGCTCTGCCATTACCGATCCTTCGGAAGAAAAGCTGGCAGCAACCTACATAGTAGCATTAAGAATAAGCGTTGTGCATTAGAAATAACGGTTCTGTAACTCCACAGTGTGAACTAAATACGTTTCAAACATCGATATTGAACTTTGGATAACAGAAGGATATGCATTCAGATTTCAAACGACACATCCGATGATTAATGGCAAAAGGTTATGACTAAAACTTACCTGATTCTTTGCTTGTCTCATATCTTCCATGGTTAAAGGCCTCAATGTGATTACTCGTTCCTCTGTGTTATTGTCTCTTGTCTCCGAAGCATCTTCTGTGGTCTTGCCTGCTTCTTCTAGCCTCTTCTTCTCCTATAGGAAGTTATTGAAATAAAAAAACAACTAAGATCCCTTATACACACGTAGTACTAACAGGTAGACAAAGCAAAACAACAAAGATATAGTGGGAAGAGATTTCGTTGTCACCTGATCCTTCAACCTCTCCTGCTTTAACAACTCCCTAACAGGTCGATAAGCTGCCGTGACGCACAAGTTCTGTTTCCATCAGTTATTTTTTGTGCCATTAGTTGACGAAAGTCGCACAAAGTCATGATAAATGTTATGAGAGAAAATACAAACCTTGAGATCACTTCCACTGTATCCTTCTGTCATGGTTGCAAGCTCCTTATAATCGAGATCTTCGACTTTTTCTTTTGCCAGTAAAGTTTTCAAAATTATTTCCCTGCTCTCAACGGATGGAAGGCCAACCATAATTCTGTTCAAAATGGGAAGCACATGAGCATGATAAGATGTTCAATCATATTGAACTGTAAGCAAGTCTTGAGACTATGTTACCAGAAACATTCGAATGTACCTGCGCTCGAAACGCCTAATTATTGCTTCATCAAGGTCAAATGGCCTGTTGGTTGCAGCAAGGACAAGAATCCGCTCGCCGGCTTTGGTCAATAGACCATCCCAATGTGACATGAACTCATTCTTAATTTTCCGCATGGCCTCATGCTCCCCAACTCTAGTCCTTTGCCCCAGCATGCTATCAACCTCATCCACAAAAATAATAGTTGGTGCGACCTTTGCTGCTAGTGTAAATAAAGCTCTCACGTTCTTTTCATCTTCACCAAACCATTTTGATGTGATGGTGGACATTGAGACATTAATGAAACTTGCTCCTGCTTCATTTGCAATGGCCTTAGCCAGCATTGTTTTCCCAGTACCGGGAGGCCCGAAGAGTAAGATACCTCTACATGGCTTGAGAAGCCCCCCTTTGAAGAGATCTGGCCTTCGAAGAGGGAGCATGACCAGCTCTTGAAGTGATTCTTTGATATCATCCATAGCACCGATATCTGCAAATGTCACTCCAATCTGATTTGCAGGGATAACCTCTGGCCTTATTCTTTTCTCGAATTCATTATCAGGTGGAACTTCCTGCATGAACATTATATCTATAGTATGAAAAATAATGACAGCACTGACTGAAAAAGACACCCGAGAAAGGTGTCATGGAAAAAATATTTGAAGAATGTATCATGCTAGAATTGGAAAACAAGAACAAACTGTCAAGTACAACTTACAGGTGCTTTTTCTGCGGGTGGGTTCTCTCTGTCCTTTGCACCAGAAAGGGACTTCTCGGTCTCATTTTTGCTTTCAGGTGCAGCGGTGTCAGATTTTGGTTCTGTTTTTGCGCTTACAGCTTCTTCACCTTCATTTTCCTAAGGTTAACAACGAGGGGTAAATGATTAGTTGATAAGTACGGAGTTACCGGGATCTTTATTGCTTGATTTCTACTGAAGGCAAACTAGCATTAGAGCAAAACCTTGGCAGGTTCAGCATTTGTCTCCAATTTTAAGGTATCCTTCCCACAAGCTTTTCCTTGGAATATATTCAGTCCATGGGACAAGCTGTTCCGGAGCAAAAACTAACGTTAAACAATTTACAAATAAGCTCAGATCAAGATAAATGAATAATTGATTAAGATAAATGAATAATTGATTACTACCTCTTGGATGATATAACAAGCTTGCCATTTCGGTATTCCGGATGCTTACTGTTCATCAAGTGATAAGAAATTGCCGATACCACAATTTCTTCAATATAATTACCTAAGACCATTGTGTCTGCATGACAGATAGAACCCAAATCATCACATTCAAGGTCATTTGCTGCGAGTACCTCGGCAATGTGGTTTCTGTTATCTTGAACTTGAAGTGCCTTCATATCCTCTTCCAGTTTGGCTTTCCAGATATCAAGATGAGTTTCATCTTCTGGTGGTTTTATCTCGATATTGTACGGGAATAATACCGAGAGCCTCTCGTTGACCTCCCTGTAATCGTCTTCTGGGTACAACATCCTCGAACCAAGTATCAACACTGAATGTGGAAGTTTGTTCATCAACTTTTGAAACATATTATATAACTGTTCTGATTGAAGGAGGAGCTTCTCGACATCCCTCAGGTACAAGATGATGGAACTGGTTTCTGATACTGAAACCAGTACCTGCAAGAGGACAACGGCATTCACTACCATTTAAATCAATTGAAAGCAGCACAACCAGCACCTGTTTACTTTAATCAATGTTAGGCTCAGACCGAATCGATTGGAGCATACCAGCATGGCAGCACATATATATTGTTCACATGGAGCTTACGTAGACGTACAAACGCATGCGTGCCTCAAATAAAGAATCATCCAGATATTCCATTCATGATTTATCTGGAAAATGGCTATGTCGAAATTTATGGCATACCACCTTCAAAAATAAAAGAAGAAATTTATGGCATACCTTGTAAAGTGACTTCAGAAAAAGTTTCTGATCGAAGCACCAACTGCTAGTGCGCTTGTGCACTGATTAAACAAACAAAAATAACCACAGAAGAATATCAGTATTTCTAACCTATTGAGAGTAATAATTGATAATAATTCATATTATTCAGCTTTCTGGACAGAATTAAAGAAGATGTATGAAGGGTAACCTGGATTGAAAACAGCTGAAGTCGAAGAGATGCTACTCATGTCAGATGATGTAGAGACATTTCTTTTGAGTTTGGGAAGATTGCTTGAACCTTCAACAGCGCTGCAAATGTATGAACAAGAAAGTTATAGGGGGCACTCTAATCCAGCAATAACAACAGACCACTAAATACAATAACCACTTTGTTTTCTTGTACCATGAAAATCGGAAAAACTAAAGGATAAAAGTTGATTACCTGGACTTAATATCAGTAGCACTACCATGTCGAAGGAATGTACCTGTAAGAAAATTTTGATTAAAGGTTAGAAATGAAGAATCAACAATATATGAAAATATTAATATGACAATTGAATAGTAAAACCGAGCAGATTTTCTAACATAATCGTGATGACTAGTCAAAAATAAAATCACAAGCACATGACTACCTAAGCAGGCTTCACCAGAGAATCAAAATACAGAAAAATGAAGCCTGAGGAGGCGATATTCTTCAGTTAACAAGTACATTTAAGATGTTGAAAGAGTACCATTTGTTTGTTCTCTTTGTGGAAGGAGTGTAAAGGAACCAAACAAGCTGTTCACTCGATCTAAAGTCACCTCTGAGATGGACCTCTTCAAAGCCTGCAAAAGTTGCAACTAAATTAAGTTGTCATGATTACCACTAAAAGAATTCTTAGAGCTGATCAAGAAAACCATGGTAAATATTACATCAACAAATTAATAAGATTGAATTAACTCAAGAAAGGCACATCGAATGGAATTGTTGAACCACAACACTCAAATTCAGAGTCAAACACAACCATGTCCAATGTGTGCATGCAGTTACATTACAGAAGAAAAAGAACACGAAAACGAAATTTCAACTTACAAGTTCTTTCTTGGTACAACCATATTTGCTCTGCATCTGTGACAGGATAACCATAGAATGAATAAATAGGACTATATGACAGTTAATGACTTATAGCTTAATGACAATTAGGTTGTCCCTATTTACCTTGAGAGAAAAATCAGTAATGTCCAAAAGCAGAAGCTTCGATTTAAAGTAATGTGCCAAAGCCTTGACAAGCATTTGCTGGTAAAGCTCTTCACAAGAATAAAAACCAACACATTAGGTTAATAATGAACTCATGAAGATTAATATCTTAGTACAGAATTTGGTAAACAATTCAGATGTATACCAGCAGGGCCTGAGAGCAAAATAGCTTTGCTGACAGGGGAAAGGTTCCGTGTGTGTCTAGAAACATCGTTGTGTTTTAGTTGGACATATGCCGTACTCGTCAACAATTCTCGGGTTCTTTCACTGTATTAAACACCATAACAAGGAGTAAACTTGCGGAACAATTATGGAACTTTGTCTTAAAATCAATACTTAATATATTAATGGAATTAAGGAATCATGTTAACTCAGACAATCATTTAAAAAAAGGACCAGAATGAATTCCTTAAACTTCTAGTAGTATATTCAATCACCATGCAACAGGCATTATCATATTCATGTTGAAGAATCAATATACACATCTCAGTCTGCTTAACTTTCATGACATCACATTAAACAATATTCTACAGCATGGAGAATCACAAAACTGAAAACAGATTCCATGGCCCCATATATGATCCAAAATCATATATCTCTGAGGAACAAATCCATATAAGAACTTTAAACCAGTAAAAATAGGGTAAATGGGTTAATCTAAATACAGCCAAAAAGAAAAAGAAAATGTAACAAGTAAAAGGATCACGGGTGTTAATCGTTGTTAGTAGCACGTGCAAAGAATATCTCCATGCCAGACCATGCACATGGTGCCTAATACATACCAAAACCAACAACTTTCATGTTCTCCTCTGTCTATAATTGACTGGGGACCAATATCAAACACAAGAACAAATGATGGCAGTATGTCACAAAAACAATCCCTTTATCTTCTTCCTTCAACAAAGATAAGAAAACAGATCTCTCTATATGGAAGTGAAACAAAAACCTAATGCAAAATCATGTAAAAAAAAGGACCAGTCATTGTTTTACCTAAGGTAATAAGGAAAGTCATCAAAAGTGACCTTGCTGAGTTTTCCATCTTTAACTCGTCTCATAAGTTCCTGCTCAATCTGCTCCCCAGTAATTCCATCATCTGCAGTGATGTTGCCTGTCCATTTGTTCACAGTTTGCCCTGAGGCCAATCCAAGGCCAACCCCGATACCAACCCCAACACTTAAAGCTGAGAAAAACATCCCCTTTTGTTCCATTTTCCCTGTCGAATAACACAGAGAACCTTCTTTTTCCTTCTCAAAAGAATGAAAAATTCACCTTTTCCTGTTCTTCTTCTTCCTCCTGTGATTTATTTTGGCTGATAAAAGTTTGCTTCTTTTAACAACACCCAGGAGAGAAGATCCAAGAGAAAGGGATATGGAAGGGAAAGAGGGATTTCAAAATGAAAAAAAAAACTGATAATGGGTTGTTGGGAATTGAAGAGAGAATGGATTTAGATATATTATATTAGGCCGAAGAAAACGTTGGTTTAAAGGATGTTTTTTTTTTGTGACAGATAAATGACTAAAGTTGTTAGCTTTTGAGGTGTACGCCTTCTTCAACTATTTATAGCATTGCTATCAAAATACTAAAGGGAGGATATTGCTTATTAATGGGATTCTTTTTCCCGGGAAAAACAATGGAAATTATTTTATTTTGGCTTTGTTTTCTTTTTTACTTTACCGGTGACCGGCTTCTCTCCCTTGTAATGTCTTTTCTATTAGGCAAATTACATTATATATCACTCAATTATTAATAAGATTATAAATGAATTATTAAATTTCAAAAGGTTACAAATGAATCACTTAATTAATCGTGGTCATAAACGTATCTATGTCTTCGAAGGCATAACGGACCTTAACTTTTTATTTAGGATTAATATAAAAATAAGCGTCCAACGTATATCTTAAGTTAACTTTGGGTGCCTAAAGTATTTTTCGCTAAAAATAGGTATCTAAAGTTTTATCCGTTACACCTTTAGGTACATAATATTTTCGACGTTATATTTTTAGGTGTATGAAATGTAATGGCTGTTAAATTTGACCGTTAAGTGATACGTGTCAGACATATAATATTTTATTTAAAAAAACACTTAAAATTAAATTTTATTTTAAAAACCCTAATTTTTTTGAAATTATAAAAAAACTCAATCCTGAAAAATTCTATTTTCAATCTCTTAGCACCATCGACTACCACCAATGTCGTCAATCGATCAAATACCCAACGTTGTTCGACTAGCCAACCACCCAACGACCGAAACCCTTTATTTTCGCAACCACCCTACTATCACTTTTGTTTTGCTTTGGTCACCCAATTATTTTTTTAAATCATACCTAACGTTAAATTTTTATTTCATTTTGGTCAATCATCACTAAAAAATTAACGGTGATGCTAACGTGTCAGTATAAGATAATGTCACATTATCGTTGAAAAATTTAAAAAAATATCATGTCAGTCGTTCTGTTAATTTTTTAATGACAAGTGATCAAAATGAAATCAAAGCGTAATGTTAAATATGAATTAAAAATAATAATTAGATAATCAAAATATAACAGAAAATGATAGTTGAATATTAAATGTGTAGTTTACCCTTTATATTTGGCAACATTCTGATTTGTGGATTACACGCCATGCCACTACGGTATTATATTTTTCACTAACTTTATCACCATCATTAACCCAAAGCAATAAGTTCCTCCCTCATGGGGGAAAATGAAACCCTAAATTCATATATATATATATATATATGTGTGTGTGTGTGTGTAAAGAAAAAGTAGATGAACAAGTGGTCAAAGTCAAGAGGGTCGATCCTTTTTACCACTTTTAGCTTTTGATTTCATAAGTTAAAATCTTCGCATTTGGGGGTATATGCTTTGCCACAATCTTTACCTTTTTATTTTCTTTTGGAACGAAACAACGGATGAATGATTTACAAGGAATCAACACATTCCTTTTTTATTATTATTATTAGTAGTAGTACAAATTTGGGAATCTATGAGTATGGCATAATATTCCAACTTTGATTTTTGATGTCCATAAACAACAATTTTATGATAAATTTATAAGAAGATTGATAGCAATTTACATAGTGATTTTATTATAATATTCGGGTGATTCTCTTGTACAATCATTTAATTTAAGGTTTAAAACTGACGATTTTGGGGAACAATGAAAAATATGATAAAAATCATAATAATTTAGGTTGAGCGCAACCTAAAATATTATTTTTTTTACTAACATTTTTTGTAGAACCTAAAATATTGTGAAGAATGTAATATTTTCGGTTGCCAACTGAAAACGTTACAAATAATGTAACATTTTAGGTTGCGCTCAACCCAAAATATTATGATTTTTATGATTTTTTCTATTGCATTCAAAGTCGTCGTTTTTAACTCTAAATTGGGTTGTCGCTCCTTAGACTTCTTCGAAAGAATCTGAGTTGAGTTTTGTAAAATTTTCGGTGTTGAAAGTATATTGGAAAAAAGATTATGGGTTAAATTGAAATTTTATTAAAGTAAAAGATCATTTTAAGTATTAAGCCCAGAAAACACACAGTTTTAATTGAATTAAGGGTAAACTACACGTTTAATACTTAAATTATCAGTTTTTGTTCATTTTAGCACATAAACTTTCATTTTTTTCTAGAACCATACATAATATTTAGTTTTTGTTTCATTTTAGTACTCTGCCGTTAAAAACTTAACGGACAGGTTGACATGGTGGCATAGCTGTGATGGACGAACGACCAATCTAAACAGTTGACCAAGAGAGAATGACGAGTCAATCAACATAGTTCAGTTTCAGGTCCACCGGACGGTGAACCATGGAGATTGGAGGATGAAGAAATTGAATTCATTATTGATTTGGGGAGATTGAGGCGTTTCCTAGTGAGATGGAGGCTAAAATCGTGTTTAGGGGTTGAAAGGTGTGGGCTGTAAAGTTTGGGCTTCATCGGCCGACGACTGTAGACGCGATGACTGGCGGGCCCGTCCATTAAGTTTTTAACGGAAGAGTACTAAAATGAAACAAAAATTAAATATTAAGAATGATTTTGAAAAAAATAAAAGTTTAAGTGCTAAAATAGAATAAAACTTATAGTTTATTTGCTAAATACGTAATTTACCCTTGAATTAATAAGGTACACTGATGTGACTAAATTTTTTTTGTTAACAACCAGTGTGTGGTGTTTGATGGGAAGAGAAACTACACTGTTTCAACATCAAGCTTTGAGTGAGGCTAATAGGCTATAAATGAGTCCCCACTCCCCACTCTTTTCCAACATTAATTTGCAACTTGATAAAATTATACTTTATTTTGTTTGACTCAATTTAACAACTTTATAATATAATTTAAAAAATAAATTAAAACTATTTTTAAAAATCCGTTACTCGCTATTAATTTATTAATATTTACGTCATAATTTGACAACACTCATGGAAAATGCCAACCAAGCCAACATAGGCCGAACCAACGGCCCCAGCTGGCTTCGGCTATGTTTCACTAATGGTTTGTGTTGTTAGATTGCAAGTTGGGTTGGCCAATACAAATTGCATGCAAATGCAATGTTTTTTTTTATAAAACCAGAGGTGGGGCTCAATAGATACCGACTAATATTTCATTGATGCATGTATTAGGCCAATTATATACACCAAACGCAAGTGGAAATTTCTTTTGTTGCGTGACAGCTTCACAAATGGTTGACCAAGGCGTGTCATAGATTTCATAGAATTCAAACTGATACATACATATTATATATTCAAATAAAGTTACGAGTAAATTTTATATATTTTTTATTTTCTATTAATAATTTATTTTTATCTTTTTAAAATTTTATAAATTTATTTCCTCCTAAATTTTTAAAAGTTCTACCCTAACATAAAATATTATATTTGACAATGCTAAATATTCAACTAATTAAACCAACTTTTAAAATATTCTTGATTTGAAAAACAATATTATTACATGCACCAATTTTTTTTTATAAAAAGCATTTTTAAAAATTACATGTTGAAAAAATAGTTGTATTGTTTCAAATTGTATAAAGTATAACCTTTATAGTCAATAGAAACTAATTAAAAATCAAAAATTTAAAATTAGATTAGGTAAAATTCGGATTATAAATTCGTATATATCTATTTGTATTTTTGGACGTCAAAAAGTGATTAGGTTTAGTAAGTAGTGAATTTAGAACTTAATTAAAATTATCATATTGTTTAAAATATTTGAAGGAAATGTGTAAAGAGAGTGATTAAACAACGGAATCCGTGCAACTTTGAAATGATTGTCTCTCCCATTCCCGCAGCTTTCTTCATTTCATCTTTTAACTATTCAGCTCGTGCATATTTAGGCGGGATCTCAAACATGTGTTAAAATATGATATTACAACTATATATTTGTCACACACTTATGGGTATTTAGTAAATAATAGTCTTTAATATTTTTTATTAAATAAAATAAAATTTTAATTGAAAGAAAATAATATTATAACAATTATTTTTTAAAAATAGCTTTGATTGGGTGAAATATGGACAGGTAGGTATTAGGCCAGGATTCGATAGCCATTTTGTTGTCGGGGAGGGGTATACATTTACATGTCAGACATAAAAAAGATGAATTAGAGGTTGGTTCGAAAGTAGGCCAAGAACAAAGGAGGTAACCAATAATACGATAACACTGTTCACTCGGTCATATATTGTCAAACACTAAAAGTTGCAGAAATAGGCATGTGAAAACCCACCTGTCCCTTGTCATGTCTTTTGTTCTGTTATTATTCCATGGCTCTTTCTTCAATTATATTATAGTAATTTAATTGACATTATTCTTAATGTTAATTAAAAGATCAAATACATTTTGTGTGCAATGAACCCAGTCGTTGTCACCGCCTTTGAACTTAGGGAGAAATTAGCCCATCCTTCGAAGCATCATTTCATCGTAAGGGGCCGCCACTGCTTTACTTAGAACACTGTTTTTGGTTGACCACATGGATTTCGCTTCTTCATTTGAGCTTACTCTTCTCGGGTTGCCTTGTCCCACTTGTTCTTCCTTTCTTGACGTTTGAAATTTAACGTTTAACCTCAAGTTAAATATAATTACATGTTTAAGTATATCTAAACTCACAAAAATATTTCATGCATTGACAATAAAAGTTTTTAAAAAATAAGACTTTAATACTGTCATATATCCTATTCAAAACTTAGTTTACTTGAATATCACATAGGATAGCATTAGAATTTTGTTTGTATTTCTTTTACATCTGACGTATGGAAATAATAATAAAAAACTCATATTTGTTTTTTATTATTATAACAATTATATCGATAGAATTAATACTAGATTGACAATTACTAAAATTTGGCAAAAGGTTTTTTTTAAGTATAATTCTATTGATTAAAATTTGAAATATATATTTTTTCCCAAAAATCAACTAAGCCTTTGGACTTAAAAAATCAATTTGGTCATTAAACTCGATAAAAAAACAATTTAGTTTATCTGTCACATCATCAACAACATCGCCAACCACCGTAGACCACCATGTCAGCATTGTAACTGTCAATGATGTAAACCGTTGGTCAAATGGACACAATATTAGGTTTGTTTTTTAAGTTTGAGGTCTATGTCGGGTGAAAAAAATACGAATAACACATTAATTTTTTTTGAAAAATATAAGTACCTCACTTACCCTTTTGCCTTAATTTAAATTGGAAAATTTCTTTAAGAACAAATGCGAATACCCGATATGGATATCTATTTTAAGGCTTGACCAGCTGCCTTCAGCTGTTGGTAAGCCCAAAATTTTGGGATCATTGCATCTTATATGGTTTGGGCTTATATTAATGTTGTACATAAATTCAGTCCACCTCTAACCATAGCATGCCTGCAAAACAGACCTGTCTAACCCCACTTTCTTTATGTTTAATAACATAAAGACTTTTTTTCGAATCGAATCAAATTGAGTATGAATTGTTAACTCTAACACCAAGACTTTTTTTTATGTTAATTAACTAACTACCACAAATATCTGGGGACCTTACCCCAAGGCAAGGATATGGGTGCATTAGCTGAACGGGGCATGTGATTTCCGTGGAGACAAATGCATGGGAAGACAATAACAAGACGTAAAGGAAAGATGTGTTGGTTCTAATTATCTTAAAACTTCCGTCGTCATCCACCCTTTTTAATCGCTGTCGATCGCCGTTGTTGGTGGCTATTAAATCCTAAAATTTTTAATTCACCCCTTTAGCTTCTTAAATACGAATATGATGTTTGTAACACCGAAAATACCACGACATAAACTAGCTAATATAGACCCTTGCATGCAACGTCATGAAATCAACCAGAGTTAAAGATTCAGTGATCAAAATATAATAAATAGATAACATACACGATTGAAACGTATTTTTTTACGATCAAAACTAAATAAAGTTAAAATAAAGATGACCAAACTTATAGTTTCAAGGAAACCTCACCCCCAACTCAATTGAGACTTTTTTGTGTTAGTTTAAAGGTACCTAAAAGCTACTTAACATAGACCATTGCATGCCCTAATACAATGTATATATAGGCCTATCATGGAGTTAACATATATAGGAACAACCTAGATTATTGTACATTCATTATCTATGTCAATATGTGGAGACAAACTGTTGTGACTTGTGACAAAGCTTCATAATGTTCAGTTAGCCAGCTACAGTGACATAAAACCAGTAGCATGTATGAGGTACACATGATTGGTATACCAACTGGCCATGGGAGAAGAAATGTTGATAAAATTAGGTGCACATGATTTTACGTTAAAGATGTGAAATTACAAAATTATAAGGAGTACGAAATTAGATTATCAATAAAAAAAATTAAACTATATAAAAAATAAAAATATACCGCACCTCGTCATTCCATCTGTCCATCCTCCATAAACCTACACATGGTTAAGCTTTGTTCTGTTTTTAGAAATGCACAGAAAAATCCAACATGGAAGACAGAAAATGTAGTAGATAAACACAGTAAAAGCAACTGTTATCAGAACTTGGCAATTTCTACAAGCACCTTTTGTCCATGTCTCCCTATCCTTACTGGTTGCCATGTGCAGAGGTTTCTCATTTCATGTCCATTTCTTGCCAATGGGTAAGAGCAAAGATCCATCTTGAACCCCACGGCCTAAGGGGACCAGACTATTGTTTTCAGGACAATTAGGGCACATTACCCTAACATTTGAAGAAACCCCAGAATTACTTTAATCATATGATTCCCATTATCTATGAGCATAACCCTAAAATCTTGTGAAAAAAATATGAGATTGTCTGCAGCTATGAGCACAACATTTAACGATGATTTGCAGCATAAATTAAGCTGCTAATCTATGTATGTAGACAATTAATTTGGTTTATCAAAGGAGACAGTGCCACCTAAACAATCACATCATTCATGCAAGAAAATCGTATTCTATAAATCTGCTGCAAACTATGGAGATTGAAAGGGGACTAAACATGATTGTGTTTTTGAAATCAAAGTTAAAGTTAATTAAGAGGGATAGTTCAGTAGGGCTACTTTGGACGACTAATCCATGAAACACGTTCCATTAAATTTAAAAACTTCTTTTTAATTAGGGTTCTCTTCTTAATCTAAATCTTGTTATGTATGAATTTTTTATTCAAATTAATTTTTAATTATTAGTTCAACTAAGATAATTATAAATATATGTATAAATTAAATATGATCCAAAATCAACTAAGAAATTACGTCTAAGAAAATTTAATTAGCATAATAATAACAGCGATTTTAATACATGGATTTGACTTTAAGATTAAATTTTATACGTGATTTTTTTAGTCTAATGATTTATCGCTATATAAACTTGAATTCTTCGTTTAATTTAGATTATTTCATATTTATAATATTTTGGGTCCGTTAAATTTAAAATATTTTAAATAATTTTAAATTTTTATAAGATATATTTTTTATTTTAAATGTAACGGTTAATTGGATAAAAAATTCTAAATTGAACTAAATACTAATTTGAATTAAGAAATCAAATCACGATTTTAGTTTGAATCAAGAAATCAAATTTAAATATTTAATCAGATAAAAATATTAAATACCAAATTGAACGATGAAATCAAATTCAATTATCAAACATTTGTATATTTACTTGCCGAGCAATATATATATATATATATATATATATATATTTACCATACTAATAGTAAGAAAGTAAACTCAGATAATTAAACGAAGCTGCTGTAGGTATTGGAATTGAATATTAAACTATCAAATATTAGCTTAGTTATTGTATGAACCAACTGTAAAAGAAGCTTGAGACGTACCCTCAAACAAACAAAAAATCCTTTATTGTATTCAGAAAATTAAAACTTTACAGAAATGAAGGAGAGATATACTTTGATTTGTGAGACCCTACAGTTTTCCCTCTTGAGGGCCAGAATTCAATGGGCATAAACATTCTCATTGTTTTTAACATCCTTACAGCACCAAAATGTACATTGTCAATGTCAGAAGAGCAGAAAACAAGGACAAATAACAAGTTGTCAATGATTTTCTTTAGACCACTTGTTTCCTCTCTTCATGTCGATTTCAAATGGTTTCTCCTCCACTCATTTTCCTGGAAAATTAGACGGGAAAATAATATCAGCACCAGAGGGCTTGATTTTCCTAATTGCAGAAAGTGGAACAACAAGCAAACAAAGCGTACCGATTGATTTTTTGCAATGGAGGACTGCCTCGTAGATCGAGCTTTCGGAATCACATGACTTTCGCCATTCGTCGGCGGAGTACGCGACGCTGATCCTAGGAGATGTTCCGGTCGAGTATAGCCAGTTCTTCCTCACATGACCTCTTGGATCGACACTTTCGACTCTAGTACCACTCGACTTGCTTCGTCGTAACATACTTCGGTATAAGGGCCGAAGGAAATTCAAGTACTTGGAAAATATCCGCCTTGACAACCTTCGGCACCTTCTCAAAGAAGGATGATGATTCGTTTTACATTGCGGAATATCGACGTCCGGCGCAAGTGGAGAGGTAGGTAGTGTCGGAGCCGTACCGGAGACATCGTAGGCCTCAGTCTTCTTTGAATTGTTAACGAAGAAAGGCATGACACGACCTTCGGAGAAGAGCTCATCGGCATGAACAAGGGTGAGGGGAGACCGTGAAATCGGGAAATCAAACTTGAAATCATTAGAGTTTCGGAAGAATCTCCTCGAAGGCGGCATCCTTGGGTCCATCTTGATGAACAACGCTTCGTCGTAGGCATCGAGCGAACCTCGGAGGGAGCTGTCAAGATCATCTAGAGAAGGTGTTAGGTATGGCTCATAAATATACCAGTAAAGAGGACAGGAGATGGAGCGGAGTGAGCGAAGCGAACATCAACTGTCCTTACAAAGAAAGTCTCGTTGTGGGGTTACGAATTATGTGGGTTGGGGGTTAACTGCCTGTAACTTACAATCGTCCACCAAGCGCAAAAATGGATCATCCTATGGATAATAGAATCATGGCACATGTATCATTTTTGCATGTTCCCTGTTTATGCGGGGGCGCAGCCCCGCGGTACGGTACAGGGTTAATTTTGTAATTATGTACCAGGGTTTTCTATTATAAATAGAGATGTAACCTAGACCTAAAATATCATTGAATAAAAACTTCTAGCGCCGCCTAGGCACCGAGGACGTAAGCACATTGTCGAACCTCGTAAAATTCTCGTGTTCTTTTGTTTTCTTTACCCGTTTTCGTCAACAATTGGTATCAGATGTCAGGAGCAAAATTCGAAGTCGCGAAATTCGATGGTCAGGGTAACTTCGGATTATGGCAAACGAGGGTGAAGGATCTATTGGCGCAGCAAGGGATCTTGAAGGCTTTGCGATCTACAAAGCCGGCGTCGATGGATGAGGAAGATTGGGAAGAATTGCAGCAGCGAGCGGCAGGAACCATACGATTATGCTTGGCGGACGAGGTCATGTATCACGTCATGCATCTATCGTCTCCAGACGAAATTTGGAGGAAGTTGGAAAGTCAGTTTATGTCCAAATCCTTAACGACAAAACTGTATCTGAAGCAGCGGCTGTATGGGCTGAAGATGCAGGACGATCACGATTTGGCGCAACACGTGAATGTCTTCAATCAAATCGTTTCTGATCTGGCTCGGCTTGATGTGAAAATTGAGGATGAAGACAGAGCGATGATTCTGTTGTGTTCGTTGCCTCCCTCTTACGAACACATGGTGACTACTCTTACATATGGGAAAGAGACTATCAATGTTGAGGAGATTACTGCAGCCTTGTTGGCTCACAACCAGCAGAAGCAGAATGCAGGGGAAAGCTCTCAAGCCGATAGCTTATATGTCAAGGGTAATCGAGATCGTGGACGGAAGCCAGAGAAGGCAGGGTCCGAGAAGCGGAATTCCAGATCCAAATCCAGGGATAAGAAGACGATTCACTGTTACAAGTGCAAGGAGGCGGGACATATGAAGCGAGACTGTCCGAAGTTGAAAAAGCAGACAGATGAGAAGCGTGATGGCTCATCCAAGTCTGTGAACGTGGTCGAGGATGATAATTCTGATTGCAGTGAGGGTGATATGCTTTCTATTTCAACGACACAATTGACGGATGCTTGGATTCTTGATTCTGGATGTTCTTATCACATCACGCCAAATAGGGAATGGTTTTCGACATACAGGCTGGTTAATTCTGGTTCGGTTTAGGCCGGTTTATTGAGGGTGAAAATGCCGCTGATATGTTCACTAAGCCAGTTACGACAGACAAGTTCAAGCATTGCTTGGACTTGTTGAATGTTTCGAGTTGTTAAAGAATCAAGGTAACCCAACCCACATTGAATTTTCCAAGAGGCAGGATATTCGCCAAGGTGGAGATTTGTTAGGTATGGCTCATAAATATACCAGTAAAGAGGACAGGAGATGGAGCGGAGTGAGCGAAGCGAACATCAACTGTCCTTACAAAGAAAGTCTCGTTGTGGGGTTACGAATTATGTGGGTTGGGGGTGCGGGGGCGCAGCCCCGCGGTACGGTACAGGGTTAATTTTGTAATTATGTACCAGGGTTTTCTATTATAAATAGAGATGTAACCTAGACCTAAAATATCATTGAATAAAAACTTCTAGCGCCGCCTAGGCACCGAGGACGTAAGCACATTGCCGAACCTCGTAAAATTCTCGTGTTCTTTTGTTTTCTTTACCCGTTTTCGTCAACAGAAGGCTTTAAGTTCACTAACCAACTGTATGAAAAGCTTTCAATTGAGAGAGGCTGTGAAGTTTCCATGGCTGCCAATGATGATATTGCAGGGAAAAACAGAGGAGAAAGAGCATATTTATATATGATTCTTTGGCAAGAGACAATGAATTTTAATAATTGAAAAGGGAAGAAAAAAAAAAGGAGAAAAAGACAGACATGTTGAACCCCACAGTAGCACTGATTGTGTCTTGTTGCGTCAAACACTTTAACCCCACAATTTCCCTTTAACATTGCAAAAACAAGTGACCTATAACAAACTTGTAAGAAAAAAATAGGGTTATTGTGCACAGTCCACCTTTTCAAACTAAAGTAAAACACAAACCATGTCGTGTATTATATCTTTCGTATTTTTGTATTTAAAATATATCTTTTGAAAAAAAGATAATGATCATATGATAAATAATATCAAAGCGAAGTTTTAATTGTTCGATTTCACGTTAAATGTTTCTGGGTGATATAAACAAGTAGATGTATGTGACGATGATACGTGAAGAGGACGTTACGAGATTGAGTGAAGAAGAATGTCAACAAACCTTGAAGAGGTAGAGGACATGAATCCGATCTTGAAATTTATAAATGGTGTGATGGACATCTTATCATACATGTCTTACAAAGGTGACATATTAATTCTACATCGGAAATAAAAGTAAAAGTCATGAAATTTAAAAATAATAGTGTTGTACCTTATATCATGTTTTTTTTGCACTATCGAACACAAATGAAGAGATATTTTAAAAACGTTGCTCATTGTTACACGTTAATGCAATTTGGTTCTTGAATCAGTTGAATATGGATCTGATAAGTTGTATTTCGGGGCTTTGCATCCACTACCATCTTCTAGTGGTGCGGCGAGGTTGGGAAATGATTGTCATTTTCGTTTTCCGGCAATGTACAGAAAACAAAGTAAGAAGACAAAGGTTTCCCTTTAGATCTGTCGGAGAATGAAAAGACAGTGACTTAGGTTTTAGGGCCAAAAGCCGAGAATGGAAAGTGACAAGAAACCAACTGGTCCCTATGGTGTATCCTCCTGCAAGACAACAAGCAATGGTTAGAGAATTTTTAAGCATTCATAAAGAAGAGTTTAAAAAGAAGTACCATGAACAAACTTTTTTATGCATGGCTAACAAAGTGAAGTGAAACCAGGACCTACATTATTCTGTCTCGGTGTGAATGTCGGATACGAGTATATGTCGAACACGGAATGTTGAACGAGATTATTTCGAGTAAAATGGAGGATCAAACATGCTTTTAGTTTCACCTTATCGGACACTCCTGACCGTTTTCTGCTCGAAATTTGGTTTGCTGAGCTCCCTGGAGAAAGAACCTTCGTCTGGTCAGCTAATAGGTACGTTTTACTTTATAGTTTCTTTAATGGGTTAATTGCATCAAATATCCCACAATTATCGTGAGATTCTAAAATTAATGTATCAATTACATATTTCCATCATCTTAGCTATTAGTTTCCCATAAAATGGCAGGCTTAATTTAACACGTAATATATTTAAAGTCAAATTTTAAAAATAATGCATCTATTATAAATGGCTTTGATCTAGTGGACGAAATAAAAATAATTTGTCTAGAGAGTCGAAATTGAATTATAAATTTTGATAAAAGCTAATACGTAACTTTATCACTGTATTAACTTATACCATCACAATTTTGGATTAAAACAGAATTTTAACATTTTAGAAGGTAAATTATAATTTTATCATATATTTGTGTAAAATCTTCCTTAATTATTCACACCAAACCCGAATCCTCTAAAAATAATAACGTTTTCTTTTACAGCTCAAACATTCAATGAATTCTTAAAATCAATATACCATCACATTGTCAATATTTATATACGTATTTTTATTAACTTAAGGTGATTACAAAATAATTTCTGTTTTATATATTCTGAACCATTTGACAATGAATACCTAATTATCCTTGTAGTCGCCAGGGCCGGCCCTGGGCATAGGCCAGGGGTGCGATCGCCTAGGGCCCCAAGCTTGAAGGGACCCATTTTTAAAAATATTGTTAAGTTTAATAATTAAAAAATATTTTTAAACATATTTTTTTTTATTTCAAACACTCAAAAATATGGTAATTTAGTAGGTCCTAATAATTAAAAAATATTTTTAAACATAATTTTTTATTAAAAAACTAAAAAGTATGGTGAGCCAATGGTCCTATTTTAATGATTGGAAGGAAAACTAAGTGTGGGCTCCTATTTATCTTCTTGTCATCAACTCCTGGCCTAGAGTCCTTAAAATGTCAGGACCGGCCCTTGTAGTCGCTGGTGCTTGAACTCATAACACCTATAAACAACAGCGATTCCTTTAACTATAGAAGTAAGATAGTTCGTGTTGCAAATAATTATACTTAAATTTAAACAAAAAATTTTAAAAAATATATATTTTATAAAATTCAAATTTTATAAATAAAATCTAAAATTTTTAAATAAAATTTGAATAATAAGATGATAAATTCACCTAATTTAATTTTCTTTTGATTAAATTCGATGGAATGCTTATCCATGTAATTGACCTCGTTTCATATGTTGTTTCCCCGTTGACCATCTGCAAAATTCCAGTTTTGTTTACAAAAATCAACAGACTACAAATATAAATATTTCATTTCACACATGGTTGCAAGTCTCGGCCATCTTCCTGGATTTTTCAAGGAAACCGAAGAAAACGCGCTCAGCGCCACAGTTACAATCTTCCATTATCTATATAAATTCACACTGAATTTACATTACCAGCAAGCACAGAGACTATTCACCATGGCTGAGCTTGAAGAACTCACCAAAACCTTCAAAGAACAAAGCCTTGTGGCCGAGAAACAAGAGAGAAACAAGCAGTTGCATGAGAAGAAAGCACGGGTGTTAACGATTGCTTACCTTATATTCCAAGCCACGGCTTTCGTTTCAATCACCAAGCAAGCTAGTTCATCGGGCCAACACCAGAACTTGCTGTGGATTCCCTTCGTTTTGTCCACGTTAGCGTCTTTGATCTACCTCTTGGCTTTGTTGGATATTCTCTCCAGATTTTTCTGGGTTCGGTATCAGTTGGAGTTGAGTTTTGTGGAGTAGGGAACTGTGGAGAAGCAAATATTGATGCTGAAAGCCATTATATTCAGATTTGAGAATCGTTCTGCAGCTGAAATTTGCGTTTATAAGCATGATGAGATTTCACACAGAAAGAAAAATACCTATTTATATTTGTATAAAAATATGTTTTTTAATTCAAATTTTATTCATTTATTTATTAGTGATAATAAAAAGAAAAACTACATTCAACTTTATAAACTATAATTCAAACTGATTCATTTCGAAAAGTTTATCGTGTAAATAGTTTGACGAATAGAGGTGAAATATCCGTCTGGTTTTAGAAAATATAAACTATTTTCATTTTCATAAAAAGTGGAAAAGTTGAAGAAAAGAATGTTTAGTTGTAAAATTGGAAAATGAAAATAAGAATCTATTTATTTTAATTACAATATTGGAATTGAAATATACAATTTATATAGTACAGGGACTGATATAAGAATATTTAAAAATTAGCAACAGTTCTTTGACGTTCGATACCCCTTTAATTCTGCAAGGTACATTTTATTTATCAAGTTTTCGTAATTTGTGATGTACAGAATGACAATTACACCAAACCCTAGATGATTCATTTGGTGTTCTTCATATTCATGATTCGGTTGAAGTTTTCTTTTCATAAATTCGTTTTCTTTTTTTCTTTGTCACGATAATTTGATCGATATGGATTGATACAAGGATTCAACAGGTTAATAGTGCTGAAAGTTTATCTTTGTTTCTGTAGATTGTATAAGATGGAGAACATGCAATATGCGGAGGAGCTTGCGAGGGACTATTTGGTCTTCAGAGGATTTACATGTACATTACAAACTTTTGAGACTGAGTTGTATACGGATATTGGTAAAGAGTTTCAAGTTGATAAGATATTGGACTTCATTTTTTCCGTTTATATTCCTAAATTTCAGGCCGAGAAATTAGTAGGTCTATTTAGTTTCTTTAAGCAATGCTTTTCATCCTGGTCCGAGACTATGATGCTTGATACCTTGTTGAAATTGGACGGCTCTGTTCTTCGGTGTTACATCGTTCATGCATTGCGATCTGGGAGGAAAGATAAAGTTGTCGAGTTTTTTGGAATGAATGGAAGTGATTTGCTTCTAAAGAGTTCTGATTGGAGCCCTTGGTTTGGTAGGTTCATTTACTTTGCCTTCTTTCATTTTTGTGTTCTCGTGTTGACTGATTCTGTTGAGTATGCAATGCAGCAATTCCTTATTTGAAGAATCCAAGCATGGGTCCTCAGTTTCATGTTTATTTCTCCAATGAATGGTATGCGGCTCTCTGTCTTTCTGTGAGGAACATTTTCAGCGAGATCTTCTGTGATACTCATATCCTTTAGAATTGATGTTTTCCTTCTGAAAATGTTCTACAAAAATTGCGTAGTTTAACAAAGATCCCATAGGAATTAATTAATACAGAACTTTTCTGCATTTGGATATAGAATTGGTCTTCAAAGGCTTTGCCAAAAAAGATACCCATTGTGGTGCTGTTTTTATAACTAGTAGATATTAAGTGTGAGCATAACATTGGATATAATAAATTTTCCTTGACATTAGAGTGATTCATTTAATGATGGGATTTTGAAGAATGTCCTTAACCAAAGCACGCCTTCCTGCCCTACTGAAGATCAGTTCAGAAAAGAATGCAATTAGCAATCTTAAGAAAGACAATAAGCGTCTTAATAAAAAGTTATTACAACTTCAGGCTTTACTGGAGGAAAAGGAGGCACAGTTAGGTCTATCAAAATGGTAAAGGATCTTCTGATTTTGCTAGATCGTAGTAGCACTTGCGGCATCTCATAATTAAAAATGATTCTATTTGAACACATTATGATACTAGTATTGCTGCATGAACATTTAATAGGAGCATGGGAGCAGCTAATAGTTCTATTCTATCAAGTAGCATTGATGGTGAAAAGTTACACCTATCTACAAGTAGTGAGGACATATTTGCTCATGCAACCTCACGTTTGGGTAGAATAGCACTGGGTGAGGATCGTGCTGCTACTGAACCCACCAAATTTGTATCAGCCCATGTTGAGTCCTCATCTAGGCAAGATTCATATTCTGCTTCAAGTATTCATGCTTCATCTAGTGGAATCGGTGATAATGCTCTAGAGTCCTATGGTAACCATTTTGATGATAACTGGCATTTCTGCAAACCTTCCTCATCTTAGATTTTAGGTTAATGTGGCAGCAATATAACCACATTGGAAAATGTTATGCATGATGTCAACAAGTGTGGTTTTACTAAGTAGCTTTGAGATGAAAATATAAAGAATAACTTTTTTGATAGAAGATTAGGCCTCATTAAAAAACCCCTTCTTACCCTCCCTGTTACGAAAATAACATGAAGGGCATTGAAAGGAGAAAAAGAGTGCCTATAATTTTATTAATCTGAAGAATAATACACTGCTATCCCTAACAACAACTTAATACCTCCCCACAAAAACATAAGACTTAAAAACCACCTTCTGTTGAAAAAACTTAACACTAATTACATAAAACTAGAAAACAAAATCCCTTCTGAACCGAAGGGAATCCACCCTCTAACATCCCACAAACAAAGCAAAAAATCAACCTATACCATCTTTAGCTAATCTATCCGCTTCCCAGTTGGCAGCCCTCAAGATAAGCCTTAACAAAATATCCTTCCCTTCCTTTAAAGAGACGATCTCCTTGACTAAGGATTGAAATATAGGGTTGCTTAATTCCAGATTATTGATCCACTTCATCGCGACACTTGAATCCGATTCTAAAATAATCCTTTGATTAAGAACCAAACTTGAATCATTAAGCAAGCTCAGCCCCCTCTTTATCGCCAAAAGTTCTGCCAAAATCAGAGGACCACCCCTAACATTTTCAGAAAACCAATGAATCAACACACCACTAATATCCCTAATCAAACCTCCTATACCACCTTTAGTCCATCCCTTCACCATTGCTCCATCAACATTGATCTTTAAGAAACCATCTGGAGGAGGAACCCAGCAAGTAGGTTGGGATCTTTATTTCTTCTGTCTATCAACCGAATCAGCAAGAGTAAGATCACCCATTAATGAGTCAAAAGGGATCTGCGTGTCAAAACTAGCAGCAAACCAAGACACAATTCTAAAGCGAGTAATAAAGAACAATATCACCACATCCAACTTTTCCTTCTTAAAAATAACCTCATTCATGCTTTTCCATATCGTCCACAATACGGCCCTTGGAATGGATTTCCAAATACAAGAATTCGGAAGTAGATCATCCCACTGAATAATACAGTCTAATATGTTATTTGGAATACTCCAAGAAACGTTCCACAAATTTGAAAATCGTGCCCACAATCCCCAAGTTACCTCACACTATAGAAAAAGATGTGAAATTGTTTCCCCAAAATAGCCACACAACGGACATAAGGGATCTTCAATCCCGACCACTCCACGCTTCAACAATTCCTCTTTAACCGCCACTCTCTGATGAACAACTTGCCATAAGAAGGTTTCAATCCGGGGAGGTGCTATCCCCACCCAAATATTTCTATCCCAAAAATCCTGATTCCCCTCAATATTGACCGAATCAAGGAAACTCTTAATACAATAATTAGTAGAGAAGCAACCCTCTCTATTCCCAAACCAAATCCAACAATCCTCCTCCTCATGAGACAATGAGATGTTATTCAACATAGAAATCAGGTGTAACCATTGCTCAATCTCGCAGTCCACCAGATTCCTTCTCATTTGAATATCCCACACCCAGCCTGTAACATTATTCGCCCTAAACTCCACCACTTTACCCATTTTATTAATCGACAGAGCATACAGCCTAGGGAACAAATCTTTAAGGGGGACTTCTCCCAACCAAACATCATTCCAAAAAGCCACAGAGTGACCGTTACCAGCTTTCAACCGCAAATTATTCCTAATACAATCCCCAAACACATCATTAGAAAAGAAGTTATTAATTACACCTCTCCAAATCCAAGAGGCACGAGCCGTCCAAGTATTCTCCAACATTTTGCAACTCGGGTCCAAGTTGTTCACACAACAAACCACCCTCTTCCACCAAGAATCCTTTACAGAGGCAAACTTCCATACCCATTTACCCAACAATGCTCTGTTCAAAATAGCTAAGTTCAGGATCCCTAGACCCTCTAACCTTCTCGGCTTACTGACCAATTCCCAGTTCACCCAATATATGTTTCTTTTATCAGTCGAACCCCCTATAAAAAAACAGCCATGATCGAGTTTAATTTCTACAACACCATAACTGGAATTCGAAATAATGAGAGGAAATAAGTAGGGAGAGAGCATAACACAGCTTTGACCAGCACCACCCTTCCTGCTAACGCTAGAGAGTTTGCCTTCCAGCCAGTCAATTTATTATGAAATTTTTGCACAATTGGTTCCCACATCACAACAGAATATCTATTGTACCCCAAAGGCAAGCCTAAGTATTTCGCTGGAAAGTTACCCAATTTCCTTAGACCAATCGGCTAGCACATCCTCCTCAACATTGATGCCAAAAATTCTGCTCTTGACTAGATTAATCTTCAATCCCACCAATAACTCATATATCAAAAGCACCCTTGTGACATTCTTCAAATCTCGAATTGAAGCTTTTGAAACAATAATAAGGTCATCCGCAAATTGTAAATGCGATGGCTTGAAGGAACGATCTTGAACTCCCAACTCAAAACCCGAAAACAGCCCCATATCCACTGCTTTAGTTAGCAACAAATGTAACAATTCCCCACCCAAATTTAAACAGCAAAAGGGATAACGAAAAGCCCTGTCTAAGACCTCTTTCCATATGAATTATCTCCGTAGGAGTCCCATTCACAAGAACCGAAATAGAAGCTGTTGGTATACAATGATACATCCAAGAATGCCATTTTTCTCCGAACCCCATTTTACCCATTATTTTCAACAACACCGACCAATCAACTGAGTCATATGCTCTCTTAAAATCCACCTTGAAAACCACCCCTTCAACACTTTCTTCCTCCAAAAATCAATTCCTTCATTTGATATAAAAGATCAGTCCAGTATGCTCATCCCTTGAATAAATGCAAATTGAGACGGACTAACTATTTCATTAATGCACAAACTGAACCTTCTAGCTAAGACCTTTGATAAAATTTTATATAGCCCTCCCACAAGGCTAATTGGCCTAAAATCTCCCATCCCCTCCGTGTTATCCTTCTTAGGAATAAGGGAAATGAAAGAATGATTCACCTCCAAGTCCCACTCATTCCCCTGAAAAAAATCCTTAAAAAATAACATAATATCATCTTTCAAAGTGGTCCAGAATTTCTTAAAGAAACCTAAATTCAGACCATCCGGGCCAAGAGCTTTGTTGATATCCGAGTTAGAAATTGCTCCCCAAACCTCCTCTTCCAAAAATGGCTTCTCAAGAGCCAAACTCTGACCTTCTGATAGCTTGAGAAAATCCAGATTTAATTCCTCTGCCTCCAATGAATTACTATGAGTAAACAAATCACTAAAGAACTCCACTACTGAATCTCTAATTAAGGTATGATCTTCTATAACTTCATTACCTATTCTAAGGGACTTAATATCGTTTTTCCTCCCTCTAACTGTAGCACTATGATGAAAAAATATGGTGTTCTTATCTCCCTACATTCTCCATTTCAATCTCGATTTTTGCAACCAAATCGATTCTTCTTTCTTATGAAGCTCCCATAATTCTTTCTTTGCTTCAATTATTGATTTCATTGTCACCGAGGGAAGACCTTGTTGCATATCCAACTCCATGTCATGAATTCCTTTCTCCAGCAGTTTAATTTTCCCAGGCAGCTCTAAATAACCCCTCCCAGACCATCTCTTTACCACATCCTTCACCCGCTTTAGCACCCTAGACATGGGCTTCCCCTTTTCCTCTCTACAAAATTTATCCAACTCCTTTTCCATCATCTCAGTAAAACCATCCTCCTCCATAACATAGTTAAACAACCTAAACGATTTCAACCCCCAATTGCATTCTTTGTTCTCCAGCAGAATAATATTATGATCGGAAACTGACCTTGGTTGCAATGATTGGCTTATCCTCGGAAACAATATTACTAATCTCTGATCAACCAAAAATCGATCCAACCTCTCAAACGTAGGAACTTCCCTATTATTGCACCATGTAAAACGGCCTCCAGACATTGGTAGGTCAAACAAATTTGCCTTGCACACAAAATCTCTAAACATATTCATAGAAACCGAATTCACAGCTCCTCCTTTGACAAGATTGCATTAAAATCTCCTCCTAAGCATAATGGATAATCAACGTTCTCCACAAATGCTAGTAACTCCCTGAAGAACATCTCCTTATCTGCATCCACACTAGGACCATACACATTGATGAAACAACAACTTCCTGTAAAACCATCCATAGTCCCTTTAATTGCTACAAATCTGCTACAAATCTTCTACAAATGACTACATCATTCACCACAAATTCATTCTTATTCCACAAGGTTATTAGTCCACCAGCAGAACCTATAGCAGGAGCTACTGCCGATCCAGTAAGTAAATTCCCCCCCCCCATTTTCCTCACTAACATATGACTGACAATCTCCAATTTAGACTCTTGTAAAAATAACATTGTGGGTTTTTTCTCATCCACAAACCTCCTAATAGCTCGAGCTTTCACCCTCCTACCCAACCCTCTAACGTTCCAAGACATCGTCAACCACTCAATCATCATTAACATTCCATAACCTTACAACCCAGTTACAATTACTGACCCTCCTTCGATTTACTTTTATTAACCAGAGGAACCATTTTAACCATAAAAGCTTCCTCTCCTCCTTTGAACTTAACCCCCAACAATTTGGACACATTCCAACACTCCAAAGCCTCTGTCACCCGCTCTGTCTCATTCTCTACAACGGAAACCAATTCCTCGCCATTGCAGCTTTTAGCTTCCCACCTCCTAGAATACACATGCTTATAAAAACCTCTTTCAATATTACTTACTGACGCACGTTTCCCAGTATGTCGACGCCTCACCGATGAGACTGGCCCGTTCTGCAAGCTTAAAGCAGTTTGTTCCTTTGCCATTTTTGCAGATTTAATGTCATTCCTCTTTGACCATAACCTTCCCTGTTTAGGCCCGCTTGTTTGACTCCTAACCATGCTTGTATAAAGCCCATTATCTTGGACGGCCTCATCATGGCCCACTATGACACCTCCCAAGGTTCTCTCCTTTTCTCTCCCTTCATTAAAATCCTCTGACACTCCCTTTTGACTGGGAACATCACCTACTGCTGCCTCCTCAGAACAAAAGTCAACAGCCAAAATATTTTTTGTTCATACTTTTATATTCAAATTTACATCGATAAACGTATCATCTCCTTGATTGTCACCTCGAACCCATGCTTCAACCCTGTCCTGAGAATCTGACAAGGACTGATTACTCACCTGCTCTTCTTGTCTCCCCTGAACATCACCCTGACTCCAATCCGGTGATTTCTCCTCCCAAGAAGCCACTGTTCCGTCTTCTTCAACCACATCATCCAATTCTGGAAAAAAAATTTCACTCCCTTCCACTTTGATTTTAATGATAAATGATCTTCCATACGTATTAATGGTGACTTGAGGAGGAATATCAAAAGCACTCTCCACCCTCAGCAACATATGTGCCACTCTACAGTCCACTCTTTGAACTGTTTGTTCCTGAATCTTCACTAGCTTGCCCCATCTCGATGCCAAATTGATGAAGAATGGAACCGTCCAACAATTTAATGGAACCCCTAACAAGGAAACTGCACAGTAAGCTAATGGAACATAACTCTCCTCCATAACAGATTCCAACCTTTCGAACCAGAAGGACAGAGCCTCCCACTTATCTTCCATCGCTGCTTCTTTCTCTTCCACTGTGTTAAAGACTATCAAACATGCATTCTTTGCATAACCCCACCTTACCACCTTAGCATTGAATCCCTCTGTCCTTAATGCCCTCTGCACAAAATCCACTTCGAAAATCGCCTTACAAATGCATGTTAACGACGACCTCAGCCATCTTCTCTCCTCCATTGGAATAAACACTTGCATAGGCTTTTTCACCTCCCTCTTATCTCCTACATTGCTCAAATGTTGGACATCAACTTTTTTCACCCCCACTATCGTATCCTTGTATGTCTTACCATCATAAAACTTATTCAACAGCTCCTTCCCTCCATCATCCACAAGAGATATTGGTTTTTTTCTTTTCGGATTCTCTACGCCTGCCTCTCCAGACCCCACCCCGCTACATCACTTCAAGTTCCTCGCAGCACTATTCCTCTGATATTTCGCAATCGACACCAATATTTTCCTCCCATCGACCACAACATTATTCATTCGTTCCACTACGTTCAGCAAATCCTCCTTGCTAGCAAAATGCACAAAAGCAAAAGTACTGCCCTTATAGTTTGGTCTCCTATTAACGAACAGAATAAAAACCTTAATCACCTTGCCATGAAAGCTAAAACGATTCCATAAAGCACTTCTATGCACTCCCCTACTGAGATTATCAACGAACGCTACCCATGATACTCCTCTAGACACCACTATGTGGTTATAATTTTTGTTTGAATGTGTGTGGAATTTTGGATACAGTGAAGTAGGTTTGTTTAAATGCTCCTTTTCCCTATGCTTTAATGGGTTCAGGTAACTACTGATTGTGATTTGACAGATGATGGTAGAGAAATCCTCAGAGAAGAAGAATTTCCTGAAGTGAGAATAGAGTTTCATTTGGCAAGATATATTCAAACATCATTCTTATATACACTCTGATTACTTGTTCATTTTTTTTATGTGTGAAACTGCCGGCACAACCTTCTTTCTAGGAGGCATTTTTGGGCCACACTAGTCCAATTACTCGGTGCCGGTTTTCTGCGTCTGGGAACAATATAGCTAGTGCATCTGTAGATGGCACTGTCAGGTATGCTCTTTAAAAGGAACTGATATAAATTTGTAAATACTTATCATTGAGTATTTTGGTTCCTGCAGCTGCTTGCAGGTTTTTGAATTTGTCTATCCTACCCGACAGTTGATGAACATCTAATGTAAAAGAACAGAAAACAGAAGGAAAAGTCATTGTTCTTGCAATCTGATAATTGACAAATATTGATTAGATGGGATACTGCCATGTGCTGGCCGTGGGTTTTAACAAAAATAACCGTCGGATATCTCGTTAAATGTAGATGAGAATACTATAAGGTGTCACTTATATTAATTATTGTGCTATGTTAAGTTATTGTCTGCTGACTTTTGACTTCTTTGTCTCTTTGTTTTTTATGAAGGATATGGACATATGACTCATCAATTCCGGCATCTAGAAATGCGACCATATATTGTGGAGCTGAGATAATGTCACTTGACTGGGAATGCAAATCTGACCGTTTGGTATGTAACTATTTTGTTGTTTGATGGTTCTACATGGAGTTTTATTGTGTATAACATTCTTGTAATTGTTGCATCTTAAAATTTCTAATTGTAAATTTTGTTGTTCCTAAAGCTTCTCATAGGCACTGCTGATGGAGGCATTAAAGCGTGGAGTGTTGATGCAAAGAGAGTTGTCTGTGATCTGAATACAATTGCTGTGTGTTCCAAGGTACGGACTTAGAATACCATGTTTAGTGGGGTTTTTTTATGCTTCATCTTTTTTTTCTTGTAATCTTGCAGTGTCTTGGATTTAAAGTGCAGCCCTGTAGAACCAATATTTGTTTCTGCCGCATCATCACGGAGGTATAGATCCAGTTCTACATAGCCTCTTGTTTCCACAAGCGTGCATTATTATGTTCATTTTACTTGTCACTCAGTGATCAGTGTTAAAAAGTGCGCAAGGCACACTAAGGCGATAGGGGTTTTATAGCCAAGGTGCAAGGCGCGCGCCTTATTGAAGTAAGGCGCAATTTTTGAAAAAAAAAATACAATTTTTTTCCAATTGTATAGTCAAGAACAGTCATGCAATATAAACACCAAAGAGTATTCATCATCAGCATTTTATGTATTAAGCATCTATTCATGCATGCCTCTCTCATTTTGTCTGCTCAGTCGATTGTCTTTTTTAACACCAAAAGTACCTCTATTCATCCCACTTTGTTTCTCTCTTCCAAACTTCAAGACAAACGGTAATTATATGAGGTAAAGCAACCCCCCACTTTATCTGTATTTCACGCCAAATTTTCATACGTCTCCCATGAAACTCTCTTTGCTAATCACCCCCACCATGTTTTACTCTTTTCTCCGCTGACATTTCATTTTTTTCCTTTCTTGTTGTTGATATACTAGTATGTAAAACATACTAAAAAAATGGAAAAAAAGACAAAAAGAACAAAAAATTTTGAACAGGCGGTGCCTTTCTGCGTCTCCGTGCCTAGTGCGCCGTAGGCGCACATTGCTGCGCTTCATTAAAATCGCTTCGTCTAGACCCAATTAGGTGCTTCACTCTCGCCTCGCCTTAGCGCCTAGGTGCGCCTCAGCTACGCATTTTTTAAACACTGTCAGTGATTCACACTTAATTTGGTTTTTCGATATGCTAGGTTGCTAAGAAGTTTTTCATATCATTTTATTATATTGTGGATTGCAACTATTTAGAATCCATTGGAAGATTGATTGCTCATTATCATAGTATAGCTTTTTTGCTCTTCCATTTTTTGTAAAATAAAATTGGGGGCGTGAGGTTAGTTGAATGTGTAATCCTTTCAGATCTGGTTCAAGCTCTATTGATTCTCTGGGGTATGCTTTGTTGACCGTGTGGAACATGAAAACATGTAAAGTTATGGTATGTGATTGTATGCGTAGAGAATGCTTATTAATGATAAGTGGCTTGTTAAAAAATAATTTATGCCTTAATAGACTTCATTTTACTGAAGACGGTACTTCCTCTTGGTGAAGATCCGCCTGCAATTACTTCCCTATGCTTCAATCACAACAGGAATATTTTAGCTGCCTCTGCCACTGATGGAATGATTCACATGTTTGATATCCTTTTCTTTATGGCCTCGTATTTTTGCATCAATAGATTTTGTTCTGTGGTTCTGAGTTCTCGTATTAACTAGAGACGCCCATTTCTTTTACCTACTACGAGGAACACAGTACCTTAGAAAACTCGGTTTGAGTGTGTCATTCCTGTTTCTTCATGGGCTGGTTAGCCCTCTAGCTGAAGGGTACAAAAATAACTAAGAAAGGAGAAGAATACCCATTTTTACAGTTTTGCATTTGTGCTGAACCTAGAGTGTAATATGAATGCTCCTTGACTGGTCAAAGACATGTCTGCTGGTTTACAAATCACCGGGTGGCCCGCACATGATTCTGCAATAAGCTCACTTCTTTTCGGTCCCGATGAGACGAGCATTTTTAGCTTGGGCTCAGATGGAAAGGTAAGTATTTTAGCCCTCCATGTTGATTATGGCTGGAGAATCAAAATTTAAATGCATGCTATTGAAGCTAGATTATGTTCTATCTATGGTTTTATATTTAAGCTAGTCGACTCACAGGTTGGCTTTACAATGTCAGATATTTGAATGGAGCTTGCAAAACCAAGGTCGTATCCTTTGGTCGAAAACTTCTAACTGGTAATTTTCATTTCTTGTTGACTAAAGTCTAAACTACCCTGAGATCACCTGCATCCCCTTTATAGTGGGCACCTAAGGAAAGGCACGTTCTCTTAGATTATATGTTTAGGTGCCATGCATTGATTTTCTTCTACATGTTTCGCCCGTTGCCTTCATTGAGTACATTATTGATGGTCGCATCTTCAATCTGTTTACATGTGTTAATGGGGTCAAATTTAGTTACATGGATATTACACTTTGTAGGTTTTCCGACTCTGAGACATCAAAATACTGTAGACATGAAATGACATTGGATGCCAACGGAAGACAGCTACTAGTAACATCTGGTTCTGTAAGAGCGCCCATATATCTGGTGAATTCTTTATACTGGGTAAAAAATATCCGAAATCGGATTTTAGAAAAACCGGTTTTTTTTAAATCGGATCGGATATTTAAAAACCGGATAGTATAACCGATTTGAGAAAAAATTAAACGATCGGTTTTTTTACCGGATTAAAAACCGGTTTTTTATCCGGATAAAAAACCGGATTTTTTAAAAAACTGATTTTTTATCCGAAAAAATCCGGTTTTTTTTTAAAACCGGTTTTTTGCAAACCGAAACCGGTTACACCATCCGACCCTCCAAACCGGTTAGGATCCGAACCGATTTTTTTAAAATCCGGTTTTTGGGTTGGGAGAAAAAACCGGATCGGTTTTTATCCGATCCGGATCGGATTGAAATCCGGCTTCTGTGCATCTCTAGGTACAAGGCCATTCAAGCGGGTTCAGAACTCTTCCCCACAGTGCAGCTATAATAACCGTGGATTGGCACCCAACTTTGCCGATTTTCTTGACTGGATCAGCCGATAACTCAGTTCGAGTAACTTCCATACTGTGAAGACACCATTACGTCTAATATGTCTTAATGGTTTGCTGATTTTGTTCGCCGGTTCCAGGTAAACAGAGCCTAGTGGTAGGCCGAGGGTTTGACAAAAATCTTATATTCCATTTTGCATGCATGTTTGAGCATGCCATTCGTTGCCAGGGGTTGGAAGAGCTATCTCGGCAGTGACGATGTAATTCATTGAATGTCTGCACTTCAAATATAGTTTTGCCATTTAATTGTAAATTATTAGACTTTTAAATAATACAAAGGATTGATTAAATACCTTAATAAAGCTTTAGAAAAGAAATAAGTCGTACCAAATGACCGACAAGCCAAATACAGAGAATTCACTTTCTATAATACTGAATAAGGCTTTAAAAAAAGAACAATCAATTCTATACATCGGCTCTCTACCAATCCCTGCTTATTTGAGTACCCTAAACGCTAAACCTACGATTTACTGGCAACATAGAGCGGAGAATGAGAGAAAGCTGAATGTGCTTCTCTGATCTAATCATCTTCAGGATCAATTACCATCCTCCGTTTCCTTCTATTGATAGAACTTTCCACAAATGAAACAGCCACTGCATCTTCTCCTGAATCGGCCAACTCGTCTTCCACTTGCTGCTGCACAGATCCAATCTCAACAGTCTCGGGCAAAACATGTGATAGCTTTACTGCTTCTGAAGTGTCCTCCTTGCTATCATTGTGGAACGCCACATCCGTTTCAGTGAACTGGCTGCTTCCATCCCTACGAAAAATAACAAGGTTGTACTACATTATGCAAACCATGTTAAAAGAATGAAATCTTGATAAGGTGGATTGCAAACCTTTCAGTCTCGTCATTTGCAACTCCAGCTCCAGAGATTTTGTTATTCATCTCCTCTGTGGCTACTGCTGCAACCTTCTTATCCTTCGACTTCAAGGGGAGCTTTGTAGTTTTCCTATGATTAACAGATAAAATTATAGTTTTCCTGAATTTTATGGTGTTGCTTATCGTGTAACAAACATGCTTACAAGGAAAAGAAAGAATAGATTTCCTTGAAATCAAATGAGAAATCCAGAATTACAAAAATGTGTATTTGCTTTTATTCCAGGCCTATTGAATTTTCTGCGAGTAATAACTAATAAGAATGCCCACATGTATGAATGAGTACGAGTTTGCGTGTGAGAGTGAGAATTACTTGAGAACAGAGCTTAGGGTTTCATCATCAGTGTCATCTGATATTTTTCTTTCGCCGTCCTGTTCTGGAGATTCTCGGTTGAATAATCCATCATTATCCTTGTTTCTGCTTCCAAAATGTTCAAAGGTGAAAATAAATGTTAACACTCTCTTGTAAATGTAACATGACTTCAATAAATGAAAAGGTTTCTTCCAACATAATACCAGACTACTATTAATACTAGCACTAGCAGCAAAGAAACAGAAACAATATTCAACAGGAAATGCTGAATCTTAACCAATGCCGGCAAACTAATACAGTTCCATTCATCTTTGAGGTAGTTCTAAACCACAAGATTAGGGAGAAAACATTGAAATCATGTTAACAGGAAATTGAAACAAGTTCATAAAACAATGGAGCCACGAAATTGAGCAAATTAATGCACTAAATAACTAATAAACAGATAAATCTGTAGCTACCTGTTCCTCAAGGATACCAATGTCTCATTGTCGGAGTCATGTGTTTCATTTGGTTCCTCATCCCTCAACAACGTGTCATCTTTAGGCTTTTTCTTCTTAGGAATGTATAAACCAAGTTGCTTGAGTTTGCGTGAAACTTGGGCAGCAGTAAACGTATTATCGGCATCCAGTGCATTTGCAATCATGTAACTACACCTCCTATGATCTTTAAATCTGCATAGAAAACAAATTACTAATTACTTATCATGAATGTAATACAACCATTCAAAATTATTTAATGTTCATCCTTCGGGCATATATAGTTTCTCTTTTATTCTTTGATGTTAGAATCAATACTAGGGTTGGAAATTAAAAATAGAATTACATACAAAAACAAATCAATTCACTCCAATTTGATAAAGGAATTTAGGAAGAAAACCAATAAACTTATACTCACTGCTCAAATAGTTCTTTAATCATTGCTTCCTGATCCTTGCTGAAAGCACAGACTCTTTTTCTGGTGCTCCTGTTTAAGACAAGAGGACATAACGTGAACATAAATATAACAGATTCATGCCAGAAAAAAATGCTTTGTCATTCGTGCATGTTCAAAGTTACAATTTCAATGGCAGAAAACCCATTGTTGCATTAAAAGTTGTTCCTGAAACTCTTAAAAGAGTACATTGACTATAACAAGGTGTATAGATAGCAGATAACAAAGCAATACTTACAGAGGTTGCCTTTATGAACTTTCTTGCCCCCAACTTTAATGGAATTGAAGGCTATCCTAAAGGGTTTAGATTTTTTTGAATCTATTCGTCATAGGGTTAAAGATAGATTGATTATTGAGAGTGATAGTCAGGTGGCAGTTGGCTGGATTAAGGATGTGGTCTCTTGTCCTGTTGTTTATGTTCAAATAGTTAAAGACATTATTCAAAAGCTTAGTGTTTTTGAAGGTTTTATTAGTTGGGTTAGTAGGACAGCCAATATAGAGGCGGATGTCCTAGCTAAGGCGGGTATTGGTTGAATTATGCTCTGTTAAGGGCTGTTTCTTTTTGGTTTTATATCTCTTGAGGGAGATGGTTTGTATTACTTTGTTATATTTGAGTTTATTGAATCCTAGGGCACTCCTTTCCTCCTTGTGTGGATTAAGGAACTATTTTTAAGTTCCGTTAACCACCAAGGGGGTTTATTGAGGCCTTTTATTCCTATCAAAAAAAAAAATTAAGAGTGGTTCCATCCCCTTGTTGATAAGAATCGTCAATGAAAAGTCTATCACCATTCCGTATCCTTTTTCTTGGTGCAACTTTAAGTCCTGACTGTTTAAGCTTGTTTGAAACTTGAGCAGGCAAAATTCCGCCAGACGGGTCTAGGGATTCTGCAATAAGACGGGTACAGTTTGGATGGTCTTTGAACCTGCAACATCATATTTCCAAAGCAGAAAAAGTGCAATCTTCAGAAACTTCTGAATGTACATAAGAACTTGTACTAAAATGGGTGGAGAGCAAACATCCAATTTGTTCATCATGGAGAATAGCAATGATCATCCAGATAATGTGTTTGCTTTTAATGGCGGTAAGTGTATGCATCATATTTTGAAGAAGAAAAAGGAAGATCTAAGTGAAAAAAAAGCTTGTAAGAGAGACTACAGGATCAAAAGGAACGTACTTCTCATAGATTTCCTTGAGTTTCGCTTCAATATCATCATTGAAAACAAACCTTCTCTTTCTTTCATGAATCTTTCCAGATCCATTTTCTAAGGAGTTTTCCACACTGCAGCAGCCAAATACACCAATAAGCAGTTTCTCAATCAGTCATCTTAGCTCAGAAAATATGGCCAGTTCATATGGTTCATTGAACTATCAAAATATCCTAGTAAAATGAAATCTAAAATATTAAAGTCGAATGCATTAGATTGCAAACATCTCTTACTTCTGATATCCTATGTTATGAGAGATTACAACATCAGCTTCATCTTCACCCAGTGCATCTGCTATGCTTCTTCGAACCCATTCACCGGCTTCTGAGGACCCAACTTCTGCTTTTCCTGGAACACTATCTTCATTTCCGGTTCCTTTCCTCCAATGGCCCAGTTCATGCAATAAATATTCAGCATTAATGAAATGACATTCTTTACGTATCTTCCAAAAGAGAATTTCAATAAAAAGAAGGGGCTGGTGCTTCATTTTCTTCATCATTTTCCTGACCAAACTAGTAAGAAAGCCAACAATATCTGCATATTCCTCACTTGGAGACAACTTTTTCTCTTCTAGTATGTCATGGAATGTTGTAAGGAGTGACAACTGCAAAAATTAGTATAAAATTACATATATGTTAGGTTTTGTCCATATTCTCTGTTAAAATAAAATGCAGTTCCAAGTTTTGACCTGATAAAGCATTGGAGAAAGATCAAGGTCATCAGTTATCTTCCGTAAAAAGCCTATAATGTACTGATTTGTACTGATGGAATTGCTCCTATAAAATTTAAGCAACCAGCATAAATTTTGAATAAAGCTGCTGTTTGCAAAGGCTGAAATCAGAGAAGACACGTCAAAATCAACTTCATTTACAGTGACAGCTTGTTCATCGCCAGAAGAATCATCAGTGCTGCAACAAAGATTATCAACATGACCAGGTGTTTTATTATCAACCTGTGGCATATCTCTAGGACCTCCCATTTTAGTCTCATAGGTTCATAGTTCATCAACCAAGAGAGAAGTATTAATATCTTCTTTCAGATCAGCCGTCTCCTTCACTGGGCTTTCTTGTTCTCCCACATGATCTGCTGGTCGTTCATAAACTGAGGAATCATCCACATAAGTTGCAGCAGCATGGTCTTCAAACTTTTCATTTTTCATAACTTTGTCACTAACTGCTTTCTTCTTTCCCTTCCTTGATTTTCTAGAAACCTTAGTCATGTAATTTACATTTCAGTGCAGATTACAACAGAAAAAGATAGAAGAGAAGAAAGCTCTTCAGAATTGATGCACAGAAAAACTAGAAATTCGTAGGATCAAAGCATGATGCAAGTGTATCGGCTCTAAAATCAACATAGATTTTTTGCACAACAGGGCATACACATGGAGAGAGAAGTGGGAGGGCAATAAGTTTGCATGATAAATTAAAGGACCTTTTTCATAGGTTTCATGCATGATTAAAGGACCTTCAAAATTGATTCACGGAAAAACTTTGTTTAATGCATTTTAGTAGTTAGAGAATAATCGAGTCAGATATATGATATACCTCAATAGCTCGGTATCTTCGAGGGACCAAAAATATATATAACAGTTCAAAACAATTCCAGTTATCGCTTTTCTTAATGATGACTGACGTCAAAATTAGAAATTGGTTAACAATGATTGCATATTTTGCAGTTTTGTGTTTTCCATGTGTAAAGCAGGCCATGGAACCAAGGCATTCATCTGCTAAATTATAGCGACAATAACAGTGTATATCCACCAGAAAATTTAAAGCCTAACATACCCTTAATGAGCCACGTGCTTGAAGATTCTCCATGAGCCGCATAATTACATGCATCGTTTCTACCAAATCTGTAAGATCACTGATAAAAGAAATAAAATCAGAGATAGAAAAACATACTAGTCACCATGAAACATTTTTTATACATGTTGAAAATA